TTCATTATAAATATAATGTATTATAACAAGAACTAAAATGAATTTTTATATATATTTATTTTATAAAATTAGTTTAATAGATATATAATATATATGGTTTTAATATATTTAATGCGTTTGGATCCGGATCCGGATATCCGGACCTTAAATTTTGCTATCCGGATCTGGATCTTCTTTTCACGGATCCTAAATTTTACTATCTTTATCCGGATTCGGACTCTCCGAATATCTTAATTTTTAGAGCGATTCCGAACGGATAATGGATCGGATCTCGAATCTCGGATAATAATTCCACCCCTACCACATAGCCTCTTCTCTTGTTTTTATTGGATTTCCTTTCAATAATTTCTATCAAGAGTTTAATAGAATTTCTCTTATTTATTCTAGAAATAAACTCTACTTTATACTTATTTTGGGGCAATTCATTGTTGTATGACATCGGCTTTTTGACTTTGATGGCATGTGATGTGTCTATGAATTTTGCATGACAACAGTAAAACATTATTATATATAAATAGCAAAACGTTGAAAATATTAAGGCTATTAGCCAATCATATTGAAGTCATAGAAATGGTATTACTACTACATCACGAAACGTGACGTTACATTTAAAATTCTAAAGTCTACAAACTTTTTTCGGCGTGAAAATAAAATACATTTTTATGTAATGCTTTTTAGAGTGAATTTGGTAACTAGCAAGACTTAATAATCAAATTAGAAAATCAATAAAGAGAATTTTGACATTAGGTAAATAGCAAAAGGATACCGAAAAACTTGATGGTGGTAGCCACGAAACGCGTTTTCTTTCTCCGGCGCGTGGGTGAAGTACAAGAGGTTGTTTATACAAACGTATCTAGCATTTAACTTAGCTAATATTAATTTAATATTAGCTATAGTTTTTTTTTTTTTTTGAAAACATATTAGCTATAGTTAGGTGAAGGTTTTAATGTGAATAAGCAATACACCTACATCGAGACGGGAAAGATCAAATGCTAAGATCTACATCTTTGAAAATCATTCCATCCCCAAAATCAAGTTCTCTGGATTATATAAATCGTTAAAAATGTAAATAGCGGTCTATTAATTAAAGTAGCTTTCTACGCATGAAAATACACATGTACATTTTTAAATGAATGGTATTGTAAAATTATAACTGTGTAAAGATATGATTACACATTGTTATCTGGTTGGTAAAGATATGGTCTTCTTATTCATCACCTGATTGGTACGATCTGGTAAGAAGATCTTCATCTTTCAAAGTCAATATATTCCCGAAATCAAGTTACGTGAATCATATAAATCGATAAAAATGTAAATAGCGGTCTATTAATTAAAATAACTT